ATATATAATGATCATGATAGAGACTCATGTCCCTCTTTAGCCTTCACTTTGCCCTATTGCTTCCAAGGTTAAGAGTTACCCACGTCGTCGCCACATAATTTTGGTAACAGAGGTAAAATCATTAGAACTGTCCCTGTGCAGAGATATATGATATCCCATAATTTCAGATTCAACATCGAGTTCTACTTTATGCAGGTTTTAGTTTTACTTTAATTTTATGTATTTTCGAGACCTCAAGCTACACTACTTTAAAACCAAAAGCTGGACCACCATACTTTATTTGGATTTATTTTTTTTTATCTTGGATTGCATGATAGAAAACAACTCTTTTCCATCATTTAATTTAATTCATTTACATATTATTCGATTTGAATTTAAAATTTTTCACATTTCTTACTTGCATTGGAATAAAATTACCATTGAATTATTTAATTTGTTGATTGCTTTATTTAGAAGTTGAAATAATGAATTTGTGATAATTTTTGTTAATAACTTAAATAATTCAATGATAATATTTTTTTTAGTAAAAATAAGAAGTATTGATTTTAAGTTTTATTATAACATATGGGGGACATTACCGACATAAGTCAATGGATAAAAGAAAACTACCCTCTCACTGTTCAACCCAAAATAAAAACAAAATAAATTTGCAATTTTAAGAGAAGAATTCTTGCATTTAAAATTCTGGATTTTGTTGGATGTTATTAAAATTTAAAATTGTTAATATGATTTCATTTTAACTCAAATACTAACACTTCTTTGGAAAAAACTAATTTCAAATGGGTTCTAAATTAATTTCAATTTATCCTATAAAAAAAGTTTTTTTTTTATAAAATACATATGAAAGAGGTGTAATAAATATTTTTTTATTAATTTATATAAAATATTATAAATATAATATTAATAATTTTAATTAAGTAATACGTAAAAATCAATCTTTATTTTTAATTTAAATTAAAAATAAAAAATATATTTAGTGTACTTTTATGCGTTAAGGTGTAGATTTAAAAAATCCCTAAGAAAATAGTATTTCGAAACCAAACGAAACTAATATTAAATATAGAGGTATGGCATTGAATTAATGTATTTTTCATAGAAAGTTTGATTAATCATATGCAATTTTTGTAGGGTTGACTTTTGAAAAAAGGCAAGGTGACATCCAGACAAACGAGGACGAAAGATAGGGGAGGTAAGATCCATGGAAATCAATCTTCAGAGAAGTGTTCCAGTTGTAGAAGAAGAAAGAAAATGCAATGCGTTACATAGCTCTCAAGGAAATGAAAATAAAGCAATACACCCCAAATTGGCATTTGTGCTGAATTGCTGCTGGACCTCCTCGACTAGAATATAATTCAATGGTGGGTCGTTTATTGCTGCGTCATTTCTGTGCATTGGGCGTTAATTACTATAATAATGGGTACCACCTTATGACTTTTCACCCCTTTTTGGTTTGCACTTTTCTCTTTTT